TATTATATAAAGGATTTTCAATTAATTTTTCTGGTTTTCTAATATATGTATATCATACAGGAAAAAATTTGCAAAATTCAAATCATAAGATAAGTTTCTACATAAAATTGTATCTACATAAAATTAAAACAATTGAAGTCGTATTATGCGCTATATATTTTGTTAAGTATATTTCTAAAAAGTTTTAGAATTCATTTGATTAATTTCAACATCGTTTAGTTTCAACATTGTTTCTTTTCCGTAAATAAAAAGTTAAATAAAATATTAAATAATTTAGCTATACATCTTCCTTGCAATGCAATTATGATATGATAGTTGATTAAATTTGCAAAGTTACCATAAAATTATTCAATATAAGCTATAATTATATTAAAATTTATTTTATTGCTACTAAATGTATCTTTAAAGAGTATGCACAAATGGGATTTGTCTCGGGACGTAAACGTATATATATGCGATAATCTCAGATTTATATACTGTAACATTGTTAAAGATTTTAACGTTAATAATAAAATATTAGTATTTATTTATTCTAATAATGCTCGGTTTAAAATTTACTTATGAATTAGGACTGAATAGTGATATTAGTATAATATAGAAGCATGTAAACTTGTCTTTTTTTATCTTTTTAAACCATTAAATATTAACATTTGTAACTATAAGTGGTTCAATTTATTAGGTATCTATTAAAAATATTCTTTATTAGGTATCTTTAAAAATATTCTCTAGAAAAAAGAAGCAATGTGTAAATCGGATGAAATAAAAAAGCCTATATTCTTGAATTCATAAGAAAAGAAAGATAAGGAAGATAAAGACTAAAGGAATATAAAATCTCAGGAATCGTGTGAAAATGTCAACGACACGCCGCTCATATCCGAGGATTATTATGCTCTGCACGTGTCGTTGAGCAGAGCACATAGAGATGACGTCAAGCTTCTGGGTGAATTATTCGCTTATTCAGTCTACATCTGACCCAGCGGGACCAACTGTTCACCATGCAACGGGTGGCTCTATCAATTATCCAGACCAGCCGCGGAAGTAAAATCCGCATAATAATACATACTACGGAAAGAGAGAGGGAAAAAGGGTTGTGTATTACCTTTACACTACATTACTCCACCAATCGTTTGCTTTACATCGCTTCTCGTAAGATATGTTGCTGTTTCGTATGCACGTGCAATGTTCTTCCCTTCTTTAATGGAGAAAAGGGTGTATCGCACAAATAATTTTTCGATTAAACCGATGTATCAAATTCTAATCTATTCCGCGAAAGGCGAGAAATCGGTCGTTTAGGATGACAAGATAAAGTAAGAAAAAAGAGAAAAAAGGAAAGAGATGCATTCAAACGTACCGACTGCGTGTTTGTAATGTAAACCTCCAAGAGGCTCAACGCGATACAGCGCGATTGGTACCGACTGACTGAACTCTGTCGCAGTACAAGCTCGTTCCTCTTATACGGGTCGATCGAATACGTTTCGCGCATCGCCTCTCTCTCTCTCTCTCTCTCTCTCTCTCTCTCTCTCTCTCTCTTTCTCTGTTTCTCTCTTTCTCGCTACGCTGGGACGAAGCCACTCCTATAGTAAGGTAACATACCTCCTGCTATCGTTATCGTCGTCACCATCATTGTTGTTAATATCTACAAAAAAAGTGCATTCGTTGTAGTCGCTATCGCAAAATCACGTTTTATAATTTGGATTGCAATAACAATTAAAGTGAAATTCATTTGGAGATATAAGCTGATTATATGAGATTATGTAAGTTTGGAGCGAATGAAAAATAGTTGGGAAACTTTTCTTTTAAAGTAAGATATTACCCTTGTTGTAATCATTAGTTTCTCTGATAAAGCTAATTTATACATATTCAGATAATGATATCGCAAATTAAATGTCCAAGTAGCACAGTAGCGTTTGCAAAGCGCTAAAAAAGCAGTTGTATGCACTTTATTTAATGCTTTATAAGCGCTGTGTGTTACTTGGGCGGATAAAGAAAAGAAGCATATCAAAATTATAAATTTTAAATATTGTAGAATCGCACATGGATGAATGAAACCTGCAATTTGCTACGTAGGATGTCCATGAATATTAGAGATTTACGCGATTGCAGGCTTAAAAGCAATCCCGAAGTTTCCTTATATGTCTGTGCGAGATTTTCTTAATTTAAAATCGATTAAACCAATTATATTGAATTATTCTAATATTGAAAATGTGATAAGGCATTTGTACAGCTAAACTAAATTTTAGAATATTATTGTTATTAAGAAATGTATAACAACTGTAATTATAATCATTAATGTAAAATAAATGTGTAGATAACTTTGATAATTTTGAAAATTTTAATTTTTTATGATCATGTAGGTAAATGATATATCACACTTAGGTGAAATGAAATTAGCTATTAATTTCCGTCATCATAGTTATATATGTATATTGTATTCTCTCAGATTCATTTCATCTCTCCATCGCTACTCATTTATCATTATTCTTTCTTGCGCGACGTGACGCGCGATCACAATTGTGTTCGATTGCACTCCACTCCACGCTTGTGATTCAACGTGTAAGTCCGATATACTTTCATCTCTTTGATTAATTTATTTGAATGATATCTTTTTATATCATGACTTTGACGAGAATTACTGATTGTAAATTATCATTATATATTACATGGCGAAATTAGACAGGGTGTTGTATTGCGCATAATATCGGCACAACCAATCAAAAAGTTGTCCCGAAGTCTGCTTTCGTAGAAAGTCTTTTCTTAAGAGGTTCGTTCGCATTGCTTGAAACTCAACAAATTTTTGCATTTATAAAATGAGTAAAATTAAGTAGATATTTGAACGTTGAAGAGAGAGAAAGTAATCAAGTGTTTAATTCGTCCATGGTCAATTATGAGAATGCGCGATCGCATTATTGCTATGGCAACCGTAGGATACTTTCATATCGTCTATCGTCTTATACCGACCTACTGGCTTGTATTTCAAGCCTCAAAAGTGCAACCGAAGAAATATAAGCGATAAGCGAAAAAATAATAACGTTATTCTTGGGAATTACGTTGAGAAAAGAATTCCAGTCCTTCGATATCCTCCGACAATTTTTGGCTTCCGAGCAAAGATCATGAACGACTGCTTGTCGTTGAACGCGACAGCCGGACGAGTTGCTCATTTGGCTCACGAAAAGGTAAGGGTAAATTCACGTAATTTGGAACGCACCCATAATTTCAAAAATCTAGACAAGATTACGGGTACGTTCCGAGTTACGCATGAAGCGTGTGATGTATCATATATGTTTTATCTTTATTATTTGATGAAGAACAATGCATTAATGCATCATGCACTTCATGCGTAACTTGGAACAATCAGAACGCATCCTATATCGAGTATTTGTGCATTACGATTCCAAACTCCAAAATAGTTTGGCGCCTTTCGGCAGTGGTATATTTGTACGCGAAAAACACGTGAGAGAAATTAAAAATAAGAGCTTATGTAATATTAAATCAATCGATAAAAATATATATAGTATTCGACTTTCTTATTCAGTCGATTATGATGATTATTGACAATTATATGATTACCGATACAGTGCGCTGATTGAGAAAAATATCATGTTAACTTTATATTCCGAAAGTACCAAAGCATTAATTAATAATCTACTACACTATAATGATCTACAATGACACGTAAACGAATTACTTCATAAGTTCAGATCTAAAAATCAATTGCGATATTTAAATTGTATATTATGATCAAAAGAGTAAATATATTGAATTATGAATTCAATGATGAATACATATGTTAATGGTAAATTAGGAGGAGAAACGTATCCAAGAACGTCGACGTCATCTCATTTATCTTATTGCTGCTTTTTTACGAGAGCAAGGGTGAGCAAAATTTATAATTAGGTTTAATATTTGTTTAATTAATACTCTCAACTATTTGAAATACATATATCAATTAAACGTTAATGTTAAAATCGTGTGTTATATTCATACGAACAATAAATATAAAAAGAATAATGATATCATGAGTGAGTAAATATTTGATCAAAAGCTTCAATCTGACATAACTTAAATAATAAAAACTTGAAAATTGCTATGCTAGTTCAATTATAAACGTTTCAATATTTTAAACAAATATTAATCAATTTTATTATAATTCTTTACATAATTCTTTACATAATTCTTTAATTTAAAAAAATAAACTTTAATAGCATAAATAGTTATAAAATGAAAATTATGCTCATTGATGTGTTTCTCATAGTTATTCCAGTACCGCGGAAAGTCTCTTCAAAGAAGCTCAACTCTCCCGAGACATTCACGTGTGTGACAATATTGATCTCGAAACTATCATTCTCGAATATACCGATTATCATTATGCCAAGTACAATAAGTATCCCAAGTTGTGTAAGAAGATAGAAGTTAGTAACGTAGCTCCAAATGTGTAAGAAATATAATTCATTGTT